TCAAGGGCACTTAAGGATCGACACTGAGCACTGGCCCAGCCAGGAAAGTCCATATTCTTAAAATGAATTTTAAAAATGTCTTGCAGTGGTCACTCCTACTGATACTGTCATGGATGGATGTATCTGGAACAGATAGATCGGTGAGGACAAATAGATTTTTTGCACTTATTGGTGCCCTCTCTGACTAATGTAGGCCCAGTCTAGCAGTCATGTTCTTTAAGACTCAACTAGCTTGGCCAATATGGTGCTATCAAGTCATTCTTGGTCATGGACATTGAATTCCTCCATTCAGAATACATTCTGTGCCCTTGCTACTCCTAGTACTTCCTTAAATTCTGTTACAAGTAGTATCTGCTGAGGGGATATACTGGTCATCAGCGAGAAGTTTCCTTGTTCATGTTTTGCCCAATGCCATGAGACTTCATGCAGTGTAGAAACAATGTTTGAGGACTCCCAAGGCAACTCCTTCCCAACTATAAACTATTGTATTGCCACCTCTGAATAGTCTGATGGAAGAGGGTATACCCAAGGATGGTGATGTGTCTGGGGCTTTTTCCGTAAGGTATGATTCCATAAGTATAATTACGTCGGGCTGTTGTTTGACAAGTCTGTGGAACTGCTCTCACAACTTTGGCTAAAGACCCCACATATTTGTTTGGTGGGCTTTGCATGCTTGACAGAACTGTTTTTACCCGTCGTAGTTGCCAGTTTCACAGGTAGTGCTGGATAGACTGTGCTATTTATACTATTGTTTAGACTTCATGGTGGTTTGCTACAACTTAGTGGTTTGCTAGGTCATCCAGAGGGCATTTAAGGGTCAACCACATTGTTATAGATCTGGAGTTATATGTGTGCCAGGCCAAACAAGGACAGCAGATTTCATTCCTTAAAGGAACCAGTGTAGTAAAATGTAATAAACAATTAAACAGTAACAGAATTCTGTGCACTTCAGATATGATGTACAAAACCTATAAAAGAATACAGAAAAGTTTCGTAGAATGGTACCATAGATGGCTGACTTCATCAGGTGAAATGGAGAAACTAGTGTTGCTCTCCTTGGACCAGAGAAGAATAAGAGGATATTTGATAGAGGTATTTAAAATCATGAGTGGTTTTGATGGAGTAAATAAGGAAAAATTGTTTCCAGTGGAAAAGGTTTCAGCAACAAAAGGACACAAATTTATGATTACTGCCAAATGGGCCAGAAAGTACATGAGGAAACATTTTATTTTACATTAAGTTGTGAATTGAGTGGGAATCAGATTCAACAGTGATATTCAAAAGGAATTGAATAAATACTCGATGGGAAGAGCATAGGGCTACAGAGAAGAAGAATATGGAATTAATTAGAAAAAGAAATTCAAAACAATTCTCTCCCAAAGAATTAGCACAAGCACCATCAACAAAATTACCCACTTCAATGCCATAATACTTTATGATTCTTGGTAGATTTTTGTTAAATGAGAGTACGAAAGGTTTGGAGAACAGACAGATAAATGAAGTTGAAGTGCATATCAGCTATGATGTCACAGAATGGCAGAACAGGCTCAAAAGAAAATGTGGCTCCTCCACTGGCCAGCTGCTGAAAACTAGACAAAGGGAAAATGCACCCTGTTATAATTTTGTTTTGTTTTGGGCAAGGAAGCCTAAATCAAAACCAATTAAACAGCCACAAAAATAAGCATATCATGTTATGGAGAAGATCTGAAGATTGTGACTAATGTGATGAAAAAAGAACTACTATAAATTTGATGAGCCAAATGACCTTCTTCTGTGCCTTCATTTCGCAGAAGGGAAAACAGTTTAACCAGAACAGTTGCCAATCTATTACTGGCACTACTCAAATAAAAGCAAAGCTCTGTAGATACCGGAGATCTGAAATAAAAGCAGGAAGTGCTGGAGACCTGCTGAGTTTCTCCAGCACTTTGCCTTCATTTTAGTTACTGGGACTAGTCAGGAGTGGTTGATCTGGTTGACACAAGTTGACTGGTCTATGAACTAGTGGCCAGTTACCAGTGACAAAGGCCTTTTGCCTGTCGACAACTGTGTGATTGCTTCTCAGGTAACTGAAAATCTTGGTGCTAGGAACAAGACTCAGAGAAGCGATCAGATACCAGCAGCTCAGGAACTGTCTCTCTGCTTCTCTGCTTTAAACTGGAAGAAAACCAGTTTAACTTATCTTCAGCAGTTGCTGTAGCTGGGCCTTTTAATTGATAAATCAGAGACTTTTTATAAATGAACTGTGCCTCTTGCAACCAGTAGAAGCAGTCAGAATAGGAAGGCCAAGAAGAAACCTTCTGCTCAGCTAGAACCAACTCAATGGATCCTGTGATTTTGAGACTATTTTCTGAAAATTTTCTGAAGAAGGGTCTAGACCTGAAGCATCAGCTTTCCTGCTCCTCTGATGCTGCTTGGCCTTCTGTGTTCATCCAACTCTACACCTTGTTATTTCAGATTCTCCAGCATCGGCAGTTCTTACAATCTCTCTAATAAATAGTTATCCTTGTTAAGTACAGAAACTGAGTCCATGCTTCTTGTCAACCTTGGTCAAGTAGAACACTGGAGGCAAAATAAAAAAGAACTTTGTAATTTGGGAATTAGAAAAATGCAACTTCAAATTATGGCTAATTATCATAATCAACTAATGAAGTTTATTAAATCAAATGATCATTTCTGGAAATAGGATAAACATTTGGATATTTAGGCCTTTCAAAATTGTTTGTTTGGAAGATATTGATGTTCATCAAATTTGATTATTAGTTTCAAAATTCCACTTTTCTGCAACTATGGGCAGAATTCAGACAGTGTGGCTAAAAAGGTGTTTGGCATGCTTGACTTCATCGCTCAGTCCTTTGTGTATAGCAGTTGGGAAGTCACGTTGAGATTATATAGGATGTTGGTGACACCTCTTCCGGAACACTGTGTCTAGTTATAGGAAGGATATTATTAAGCTGGAGAGTGTTCAGAAGAGATTTACCAGGATGTTGCCAGCTATGGAAGGCTTGAGTTATAGAGAAAGGCTGGATAGGCTGGGCTGTTTTTCACTGGCGTGTAGGAAGTTGAGAGGCGACCTTATAGAAGTTTATAAAATAATGAGGGGTATAGATAAAGTAAATGGTAGTTGTCTTTTCCCAAGGATGGAGTATTTCAATACTAGCGAGCACATTTTTAATCTGACAGGAGAGAGATTTAAAAAAGACATGAGGGGCAAATTTTTTACGCAGAGGGTCGTTCATGTGTGGAATGAACTTCCTAAGGAAGTGGTGGTTGTGGGTACAGTTACAACGTTTAAAAGACATTTGGATAAGTACATGAATAGGAAAGTTTTGGAGGGATATGGGCCAGGAGAAGGCAAGTGGGACTAATTTAGTTTGGGATTATGTTCGGCATGGACTGGTTGGACCGACAGTCTGTTTCCGTGCTGTATGACTGTATGGCTATGACTCGATGACTGCCAGGAGAGAGCTGGTGGATCCATGTGTTTAACACGTGAGAAAAGACTGAGCGATGACCCTTTCCTTACTCAGAGTTCAGTTGGAAGCTGGGGGGGGTCATTAATCCTGAAGATGTCAGCAGCCTCCTGTGACCTGCGGGCATGGGTCATAATTGAGCGATTGTGAAGTAATGGGCAGGTGCACATGGTTCTCTGATGTCATCGAGGCAATGAATAAATGGGGGGAGGTGGCCTGAGCAGCAGCAGGTGGTGGGGAGACGGGGGAGGAGCAGCAGGTGGTGGTAGGGAGACGTGGAGAAGCAACTGGTGGTGGGGAGACAGGGAGGAGCAGCAGGTAGTGGGGAGACAGGGGAGGAGCAGCAGGCGGTGGTGGTAGGGAGACGGGGAGAAGCAACGGGTGGTGGGGAGACGGGGGAGGAGCAGCAGGCGGTGGTGGTAGGGAGACGGGGAGAAGCAACGGGTGGTGGGGAGACGGGGAGAAGCAACGGGTGGTGGGGAGACGGGGAGAAGCAGCAGGTGGTGGGGAGACAAGGGGAGGAGCAGTAGGTGGTGGTAGGGAGAC